CTCCTGGAAGGCGCCAACCGCACACACACGGACGCGGAGGAATTGTTCATCCGCAAGGTGATCGAGTACAACGTGGAGTTTGCCAGGAGCGGGTGAGGAAATCCCCCAGAATCCTCTTGTCCCTAGAGCCAGTCCAGGAGAGCCGCGGGCACCTTTTAGTCAGGCGATCACGACTTGCAGGAAGAGCTGCCCCAATGCTGCGGCAAAGGACGGGCGTGTTTGGAAAATAGCTCATCTTGTCAGTTGAAGCCCCTCTCCCAGAGCCAAATTGCCATCAGAAAACTCAAATCCGAGCCCCCGCGGCTTGTAGGTTGGGGAGAATCCCCTGCTTCTTTCATCAGGCTGCTCCCCCAAACACTCCCACTTTTCTTCAAGGAAACACGTTTTCTAGCAAGTGGCCTCTGGCTTCACTTTCATTGGGAAGAACAGGGGTTGGCAGCCATTTTGGAAAACTTTGCAAGCGGGTTCCCCGGGACCTCCTCAAGCTAGGCTGCAGGAGCAGGTTCTCATCCTTTCCAAGTCCAGCTATTAACCTCTGTGTTGTGTGGAATTCCTCACCAGGGCGTTCCAAGAGGAAGAGAGCAGGGGAGAGGTGTGGCCCCGCTACGACCCCATAAAGCAAAACGTTTTCCACATCAGACTGTGGTCCTCCCGGATTGAGGAGATGCCCCTCGCCCAGCGCTGCAGCGCCTTGGCCTCGCTGCTGGCAAGAAGCCAAGCCTCACAGGTGAGCGTCAGTGGGGTGAGAGGCTAGCAGCCCTCGAAAGGAAAGGCCTGGTGCTCTCCAGCCCTGTGAGCCTGCGCCTCAGCCCACTCCTAGCGCGTTGGCGCCCCACTGAGGGGAAGGACCCCAGGTCACTTTCCCGTCTCCATGGAGCCTTCTAGGCTACGTCTACACAGCAGGGTTCTATTCCGCGTCTTCTAAGCGCACCCGTGATTTCGAAATAGACCGGGCTGGCTCTTCTGACGTCCCTGTAAACCTCGTTCCACGCGGCGTAATGGACGTGTTGGGATAGCGATTTATTTTGAAAGCTGGCACTGTGGAGATGTAGCCCACACGCCTAGTGTGGTATGGGGATGTAACAGCGTCATCCAGGGCTACTCAACAGGTGACCACATACAGCCCGCAGCCCGTTTGGTTACAGCCCACGGTGCACTTTGGGTTCACATGGGGCTCAACACGTGGCCGGGAGCCGAAACCAAAAAGTCGCCATTATAATGGCCTTCTGTTGAGATGCGTTTTGGTCATCACATTCCTGGACTGTCAGTGCTCTTTAACAGTGCTGTCATATGGGTGACAATCGGGTCAATGTTGCATGTGATTCACGACAGCAGAACTGACTGAAATGGGGCCGGCGTGTTGTGCCGTCTTGCCTTAATCTTTGTATTCATGCCCATCAGTGTGAAAGAAGCTTTTGCATAGATTTGCATGTCTATGCAACCACACTTAAGTTGCGGTCCTCGGCATGCGCTATGAGTATCGTGCGGGATGCTCAAAGGGAGCGCCGCCGCCTGAGCAGAGGGAGAGGAGCCACCAGACGAAGGGCGGACAGACGGAGGCACCTCAGGCCCCAGCTGCAGAGACCCGCTAGACCAGTGGTCTCCAACCTTTTTACACCCAAGATCATTTTTTAAGTCTCAGAACAGGCGAAGATCTACTGCCCCGCCCCTTCCTTGAAGCCCCGCCTACATTACATGTGGAAATCTAATGTAAATGCACTGTGCAGGTGCGCAGTTCAGAGAGGACTCAAGAGCTACTCTTAGAGCCCCTGAGATCTACCGGTAGCTTGCGATCTACTGGTTGGTGACCACAGGACTACCGGCATTTCTCCCCCCATACTTCCCGCCAGTAATTTTTTAGCTGCTCAGTTCTGGCTTGTGCTGGGTCCGGGAGCTCAGACCATCCAACCCGGACAGGGGCTGCTGTTGCCCCGTGCTACAGCCTCTGAGACAGCACCGTGGGGTGGTAGGAAGCTGGTCCACAAAGGGAGCTGTTTTTTAAACTGGCTTCCCTTATGGACCAGCTCTTCCCTAGCACCGTACCCTGCTGCCTCTGATGGAGAGTCACCAGCGCAGGGTGACAGGGGCTCCCCGGGAGTGAGGGTAGAGCAGGGGGGGGAAGAGAAAGGAGGCAGCGAGAGAAAGAAACACAGCTGGCTCTGGGGAGAGGCGCGGCTGCTGTGTAACGGTTCAGGGGAATCCACACAGGGACTGAGAGGGAATCTAATAACCGCTGCGTATCCCGTGTGCTGGGGGCTCGTAGGGGAGAACTTTGCACTTTGGGCCCTGGACTTCACAGATGCTGGGAAACTCTGGAACTCGTGCAGCACAGCGCCCCCTGCTGTTTGAATACAGCATTGCCTGGGGGGAAGAATTGACTGGGGGAACAGCACCTTGCTGAGCCCCTCCCCCATGCTGCTTTCTGCAGCACAGCGCCCCCTGCTGTTCGAATACAGCATTGCCTGGGGGGAAGAATTGACTGGGGGAACAGCACCTTGCTGAGCCCCTCCCCCATGCTGCTTTCTGCAGCACAGCGCCCCCTGCTGTTCGAATACAGCATTGCCTGGGGGGAAGAATTGACTGGGGGAACAGCACCTTGCTGAGCCCCTCCCCCATGCTGCTTTCTGCAGCACAGCGCCCCCTGCTGTTCGAATACAGCATTGCCTGGGGGGAAGAATTGACTGGGGGAACAGCACCTTGCTGAGCCCCTCCCCCATGCTGCTTTCTGCAGCACAGCGCCCCCTAGCGTGCAGGGATGAGCCCTGCCTGTAAGGGCTGAGCACCCCATACTGAGTCCTGCAGCCCTGGCTTTTCCTGCAGGTCTCCCCATCCATTTGCAAACAGACCAAACCCTGCCTAGTCTGAGCTCCCCCCGCTGCCGTTAACCCCGCTCGCTGTGTGTCCCGCAGGAGTAAACTCCGGAGCTGCCCAGCACAGAGGGCCGGGCCTGAAGATCGGAGCAATTCCAGTCCCGCCCTGCAGGCAAGAGCCTCCAGTTCCTGTTAGCGCCGTCCGAGTCATTAACGAGAATCCTGCCCACGAAGGGGTTGGACGCCCACGGATCGACTCTCCCTCTGCATTTCCTCCCGGCCCGGTGCATTAAAGCATGTTCAAAGTGCAGACCGAGCCCTGGTGTGTGAGGCTGGTTGACTTCCCCGGACCAGAAAAGGCGGGCAGGGGTAGGGGGAGGTATATTGGCATTGGACAGGGCTCTGGCCGCTGACCTTGGTCCCCCCACCAGAGGGCTGGTTCATGTGGCAGAAAAAGGCAGAACAAGGGGCAAACAGACAAGCCCAGGGGAGAAATGAGGCTCAAATATTTCCCGGGGAGGCTGATGCACCATTGGCAGAAACAGCCAAAGCCAGTGAGGGATTCTCCGTTGCTTGGTGCCCTGCAGTGCAAATGAGCTGCCAGTCTGGTGTGTGCGGGGCTCAGAACGTAGCTACTGGGAGATACGGGGGCTGGGATGTGCGGGGGGCAGATCTGAGGCTCTAATGGGCCCCTCTGGCCTTACCCGCTGCTAAGGACTGACAAGCTGGGTGGGGCCGAGGGAGCAGCCCCTGGGGTGTTACTGCCCAGCCCGCTCGGACCCTGACCCAGCTGTGGTTCAGTGGGGCTCCAGGGGAACCCCACAAACACCCAGAAGGGCCAGCCAGGAGCAGTACACCAGCCTCGCAGAGGATGGCTGGGGGGGTGGCGGTGACATCACAAAGGCCTATTGTATGATCACAGCCTATTGGGGGACAGCGATGACCTCACAAAGAGACCCTGGCAACAGCCACTCAGGACAGAGGTGCCAGGCTGGAGCCAGCTCAGGGTTTCCCGTGGCTGGGCAGCAGCGTGGTGCCGTCCCAGGGTCCCTGCGGGGGCCGGATAGAGAATTAGGACTGATGGGCGGGGTCGGGAGGAGCCTCGTCGGCGTTTTCTCCTTCCCTGCGGCCGGTCGTGTCAGTCCCGGTGAGATGGTCGGAGCCTCAGAGATGTTTGGAGCCTGCTCCGTCTGGTTCCCCTTTGCCTCCTCCCTCGGTCTCGTGTTCTCCTGCATCTTCCTCCCTTTCCCTGCTCCCCCCCCTCCACCTAGCAGGGTGGGTGGGTATTCTGGGGAGCTAAGAGGGTGGGAGGCTTCACACAGAGCTGGGGCTGGCAGAGCACTGGGAGCCGGAGGTGACCTGGCCCGTCCTTTTGGACATTTTCTGAGATCCCTCCTCCACCCTCCTCCCAGACTCACACTGCTGACTGGCCAGGGGGGTGGTTACTGACAGGGAAGACTCACAGTCGTTTGTTCTCTTGGAAACCATTCTCGAGAAGTCGCTTTTAACGGTTCGCAGCCATGCTGGGAGGGCCTAACAAGTGGGGCTCCCCGGGGATCTGTTTTGGGCCCAGTTCTGTTCATCAACACAACTGAGGGTATGTCTAGACTGAATGCATCTGCCGACAGAAGCGTGTAATTTAGACATACCGCCGTAGTCAATGAAGTGGGGATTTAAATATCCCGCGCTTCATTAGAATAAAAATGGCCACCGTGTTGTGCCGGCTCAGCTGTTTGTTGGCACGAAGCGGCAGTTGAGACGGGGATCGGTCGGCAAGGAAAGCCTTTGTCGACTGATCCTGTAAACCTCGTTGCAGGAGGGTCATTTTGTTTAGAAAAGAGAAGATTGAGAGGGGATATGAGAGCGGTTTTCAAGTATCTAAAAGGGTGTCAGTCCCAAGGAAGACAGAGAAAAATGCTTCTCCTTGACCTCTGAGGACAGGACAAGAAGCAAGGGGCTTAGACTGCAGCAAGAGAGGTTTGGGTTGGACATTAGGGATAACTTCCTAATTGTCAGGGTGGTTAAACACTGGGGCTACGTCTACACTGGCATGATTTTCCGAAAATGTTTTTAACAGAAAAGTTTTCGTTAAAAGCATTTTCGGAAAAGCGTGTCTAGATTGGCAGGACGTTTTTCCGAAAAAGCACTTTTGCGGAAAAGCGTCCGTGGCCAATGTAGACGCGGTTTTCCGCAAAAAAGTCCCGATCGCCATTTTCGCGATCGGGGCTTTTTTGCGGAAAATAGTACTATGCTGTCACACTGGCCCTTTTGGGCAAAAGTCTTTTGGAAAAAGACTTTTGCCCAAACGGGAGCAGCATACTTTTTCCGGAAAAGCACTGATGATTTTACATGAGATCGTCAGTGCTTTTCCGGAAATTCAAGTGGCCAGTGTAGACAGCTGGCAAGTTTTTCCGGAAAAGCAGATGATTTTCCAGAAAAACTTGCCAGTCTAGACACAGCCTGGAATAAATTGCCTAGGGGGGTTGTGGGATCTCCATTGCTGGAGATATTGAAGAGCAGGCTGGACAGACACCTGTCAGAGATGGTGTAGACAGTGCGTGGCCCTGCTGGGATGGCAGGGGACTGAACTCGATGATCTCTGATGGCTGGTGCCCATGAGCGGGGGTAGGGCTGTGGCTGGTTGTAGAGCCCTGGGCTCTGACTGTCCGTGTGTCCTAAGGGCCTGGCTGGGGGCAGGACACCAGCTGTGTGGGGGGGCAGGGGAGGGGCGCAGTGACACCACAAAGGCCTATGGGGGAAAGGGGCTGAGCTCACAGAGATCCTCTGACATCAGTTGCCAGGCAGGGAACAGAAAGGGCGGGGGTGTCTCTGAAAGGGCCCCCCTCAGAGACACCCCCGCCCTTTCTGGCTGTGTAGGAGCCCCCCAAAAGGGCGGGGCTGGAATCGCTCTCCAGGCCAGCTTTTGGGACATCCCCTGAGACCTCTGGGCCGCCTGTCCCCCCGACTCTCACGGCTGATTGGCCGAGTGGGGGGCCATGGACAGAGAGGAGGTTTCCCAGTTTCCCGGCGGTGACCCTGGCTGTCCTTCTTTTCCAGGTTCCTCAGTTCCACGGGCGCCAGGCTGGTGGGGAGGTGAGCATGGGTGGGGGGAGGGGGTTTCCCGTAGGGAGCAGCAGAGCCGGGTGGCTAGGCACTGCTCCATGAGGGGACGTTCGGAGCCCGCAGGCTTTGTGGCGGGAGAAGCTGCCGTCCCCTCGGAGCCAGGCGCGGGCTGGACCCAGCAGCCCGACGGTGACGATTCCAGCCCAGGCACTGAGCATGTCATGGCGCAGATGGGAGGCTGAACAGCCGGCCCAGCAGCGAGGGCCCTGCGAGGTCACACACGGGACCAGGGCAGCGGAGGAGGAACCCGACCGGCCAGGGAAGAGACACCAGACGGGGGCTGCACTTCGGTGACCTGCTGAAGCCCGGAACAGACCAAGGGGCTTCCCTGTCACGCGGCTTCCCCTGGACCCTGAGCTCGGGCTGCCGGCGCCTTCAGCCAGTGCGCCTGGCGGAGAAGCCACTGCAGACACAGCGCCTGGCAGCCCTGCCCCGGGTGCTCGTGGCCTGGCCAGGCCGTTCCCAGGGAAACTCCCGTCCAGTGCAGATCCCTATGGCAGGGGCTGGTGCAGGCTTGCTGTGGACAGAGGCTGCAGTGGGGGATGCTGTTGCACCCTCTGTCTGTGGGGAGCTCATATTCCCTGTGGACAGTGGCTGCCTCCACCCCACGCTGCTGCCTCATTATCAGAGGCAGCAGCGTGAGGTGGCCGGGGGCTCCCCAGAAATTAGACAGGAGCCCACTGGTTGAAGGCGCCAGGGATGTCAGACAGGGAGTCATTTCCGCAAAATCATGCCAGTCTAGACACAGCCTGTGAGACGGGCTTAAAAGAAGGAGATTGAAGAGAAATAAACCAATACGTTATTTGGGGTCTTTTTATGACCTTTCCTTTCTGGGCCTTAGGCCCACGCTCCAGTCGGGTTTCAGCCTTTCCCTGCAAACGAGGGGACTTGAAATACGTTTCCTGTGGCAGCCAAGGGGGCGGCTACACCCCAGG